TGTGAAAATATTCACAGTAGTTTTTTTTTTAACTCCCAATGCTGTTGACCTGAGGTTAACTTTATCCAGTTTTTCCTCCGATACTACTTGTCTTTTCTGGGCCTAATTTTCTGACATTTACCTCGTCAATCTCTCAGCCCCTCAAATACCCCCACCCCCCAAACCAAGCTAACTGTGACCAGCAGAGTTCACTTTTCACACAGACGAAATTCTCTCTGTCCCTCTGATGTAATCTTTGGACTCATTTTAAAGCTGTAGACTGATAACAGCTCAGAGGCCTCTTGTGTTTGCAGTTGTTAAAATAATTATTTCAGTTTAACCAACACAGAAAACTTTTTCTCTTTTGTAGATTACAGCAGCAAATAAAGATCCGACTATTTGCTCAGGGATTTAATAAGGACTCCAATGTTTTTATTTGTCTTTTTTTGTTTTGTCTACTTGCTGTTTATGCTTGTTTGATGTTAAATCCTGAGGCTTATCTTCATGTCTCTTGGTGATGAAGTCTGTAGTAAAGCTTTATGGACCGAATTTCGCTCCATTATTGTTGCAAGCAAAGAACACAATTTATAAATAAAAATATGAAGAAAGAACATTTTAAAAAATACAAATTAAAAAGAAATTAAATAAAGAAATCAAACAATTTAGTTTTTTTTAACTTATGTTTTCTTAAACTTTTTTTGTTGTGCATTTTTTATTTCGTAATCTTAAAAAAAATATCTGTACTGGTTTTATATACTAAGATAACATTTTTTCATATTCTGTTTTTACAAATTTCTCTTTCAGATAGTTTTACTAATTTCTTTTTTGTATAGATAACATTCTCTTTGCTTATTGGAATTAGATTAGATTACATTAGATTAAACTTTATTGTCATTACACAGGTACAGGTACAAGGCAACGAAATGCAGTAAAAACAGGATTTCCTCTAGAGTGGAGAAAATTTCTGTTTGTGTACTGGGACGTTAACATTTTTATTGGTTAATAATGTCAAAACCAATCGTTTGTATCGAGCTTTAGATGAAGCGAGCAGTAGTATTTTAATCGATTTTTCCAGCTGAGCTGTGGAGCCCTACAGCTCCTCCATAGTTGCAATGGTTGCAGCTGCTCATTTGGATTGGGTGAACGGCCATCTTTGTTGATTTGTAGTCTTA